TGTGATTTCCAACTAACACACGAATTTGATAAGGTGAATACGTAAGAGGAAGTTGATTTCCTACCATCCCTATCTCCTGCATAGTCAGCATCTACAAAACCCTTTAATTTCACGCCTTCTTTATTAGCACTAAATTTTAGACCCACGTCACTTGTACCCTTCAAATATCTTAAAAGCCACTTTAATGTTTCCCAATGTTCAGGACCTGGATTAGACATGTACCTACTGAGAGTACTAATAGCGAATCCTAAATCCGGTCTAGTGCAAACCATCAAATACATTATGGAACAAATCACATTTGAGTATGGAATTTTACTCATGTATTCCACTTCACTTTCATTGCAGGGAGCTTGTTCCTTAGATAGAACAAAATGGTTTGCAAGAGGCAACGTGACAGGTTTGCAGTCACTCATATTAAACCTTTTCAACACCTTTGATATGTATGGGGACTGATGTAAGAATACGATGGAATTTGACCTATTTCGTTCTATTTCCATGCCTAGAATCCTTTTAGCATTTCCTAGGTCTTTCATGTCAAATTCTCCACTAAGATCTGCTTTTATATTGTTTATCCACTTAGGAGATGATCCAACTAAAAGCATGTCGTCCACATAGAGCAACAAGAACAAGTAATTGTTATCAGTCTTGTTGTGTTGAAAGTATAGGCAGTGATCGAATTTACTTCTTTGAAATCCTATAGTGAGTACAAAGGAATCAAACCTCTTCTACCACTGTCTAGGTGATTGCTTTAGACCGTATAGGGATCTTTTCAGAAAACACACATAATCAGGTTTTAACTTGTCTTTAAAACCTTTTGGTTGATTCATAAAGATTTGTTCATCAAGCTCTCCATGTAAAAAAGCGGTTTTTACATCGAGTTGTTCAAGTTCCCAGTCAAAGAGCGCAACCAATGCGAGCATCACCCTGATAGTAGTGTACTTGACAACTAGTGAGAAAATCTCGTTATAATCAACACCTTCTTTCTGTGTGTATCCCTTTGCTACTAACCTAGCCTTAAATCTTAAGGGTTCTGTATTACTAGTACCTTCTTTAACCTTAAAGACCCACTTGCAATCAACGATTGATTTATTCTTAGGTCTCGGTACTAACTCCCAAGTTTGATTCTTTTCTAGAGAACTCATCTCTTCTTTCATAGCCTTAAGCCACTCCTTAGATTGACCACTATTCATAGCCTCTTCAAAAGTTTTCGACTCCCTATCAACTAGTTCTTCGTAACTAGCGTATGCAAAATCCAATTCAGATTCATATCCGAATCTCCTAGGTTCTCTCGTTTGTCTTCTCTCTCTATCTCTAACTAAATTATAGTTAGCTAATGGATTTTCTTCCTCAGGATGCTCTTCTATCACTACTTCATTTTCCTCTTCAGGTTCTTGGACCTGAATCTCCGCCTCACTCGGATGGAGTCAAATTTATTAGATAACAGGCAGTGACAACGGCTTCACCCCAAAATGACTTAGGAACTCCAGAACTTAACATCATGAAGCGCACTTTGTCTAGTATGGTCCTATTCATTCTTCTGCTACCCCGTTTTGCTGGAGAGTATAAGAAACCGTTTTGTGCCTTGTTATTCCACTTTCTTTACACATCCTATCGAATTCAGCATTACAGAATTCTAAGCCGTTATCTGTCCTTAAAAATTTGATCCTCTTGCTAATTTGGTTTTCCATTTGTTTCTTCCAATTGTTAAAGTTATGGAAGGTTTCAGTTTTGTCTTTCAATAGATAGACTCACACTTTCT